TCTTGAGTGAGGTTTGCTGTGCAGAGTGGAGAGCCTGCTGTGACACTGGAGGGAACAGAGTCCTGCTGCCACAACTCTGCTGGGGAAACTCTCCCCAGTTGTTACACTTGCCCTGGGAAACCTTCCCCTGAGCAGAGCTGGAACACTCAGGGTGACTTTGTGGTATTCCTTGGCTCCCACCTGCCAGGATCCCTTTTCTTCCAAGCAGCAACACTTCCTGCTGACTTTCCCCTGTGTCTAAAGAATGGCACTGTAGCCAGAGTCTGAAAGCCCTCCATAGTCTCACACTTTTAGGGCTTGGCCCCCACCCTGTGGCACCATTTTGGTAGCTGTGGATCCTTTGAAAGTAAGAACCATGTCTGGGTCCCGCTGCTTCCTCTACTTCCTGTCTACTGCAGACTGACAAACTACCACCTCAGAGGGTACAAGTTACCACCGCCACTGTTTCCGTCGGGTATTTGGTCACAGTGAGGCTCAAGTAGCTATGTAAATTAAAGTGCTGCAGCTCTGCCTGATGACGCGCGAGAGGGACCTTGGTGGGTGAGGGACAGATGCCCCATGCAGACAGAGCTTACAGTGGAGAGTTTTGCTGGGGGAAGGGAAGGAAGTGGGAAAAGGAATGGGAAAGGGGAGAGAGAAAGGGAATACAGTGTGGCCTCCTGGGAAGAGAAAGAGAAAGAGGGAGAGAGCGAGAGAGAGGAAGAAGAAGAGGAAGAGGTAGGTGGAGTTTTGCCTTTTAAAGGGACAGGGTGCTGCCTGCCATGGCACACAGGGGTGAAGCAGAAGTGAGCTAGGTCCCCAAGGGGAAGGGGCGGGTGTGCCTGGATACTGACAGCTCTAAGAGTTTCCATCTTTTTTTCTATTCTTTTCTTTTGTTTTAGACAGGCTTTCTCTGTAGCTTTGGAGCCTGTCCTGAACTCACTCTGTAGACCAGGCTGGCCTCGAACTTACAGAGATCGGCCTGCCTCTGCCTCTCCAGTGCTGGGATTAAAGGCGTGCGCCACCACTGCCCAGCAAGTTCCCATCGTGTTATCCTTTTTACCATTTGGTTTCTGAAAAGTCCAAGAATAAGAATATAGAAATGTAGATTCCAGAAATAAGAATATAGAAATAAAAAAATAAAGTTGTAAGCCTAGGAGGATGAGAGCAGGCTGTCAGCAGCTTTCTCAGCAGCTTAAGACTTAACTATTTTTTTTTTAGATTTATTTATTTATTATGTATATAATTCTGCCTCCATGTATGCCTGCAGGCCAGAAGGGGGCACCAGATGTCATTACAGATGGTTGTGAGCCACCATGTGGTTGCTGGGAATTGAACTCAGGACCTCTGGAAGAGCAGCCAGTGCTCTTAACCTCTGAGCCATCTCTCCAGCCCCCAAGACTTAACTATTACTATTAACAGTTATTAACTATTACTATTAACTTAACTATTTCTTTGCTTTACAACCCATAGCTCTGAATGCAAGACTGAATCAGCCCTCTGCAAACTGAGGGTCAGCTTTTAGATATCCTCTCCCCTCTCCTCCCCCCACCAGTCACTCATGACCAGCAGTTGATGTGAGTTAACTTTTAAATGATAGGATGTACCTGACTTTTTGGTTGTGCATTTTCTTATACCCTTCCCTGCTATGCGAAACTGGCACTATCAGGGGAGTAGAACTTTGGTAAACACCATCAGGAATGCCAGAGAGAAACCATGGGCTAAATATAAACACTAGTTTAACTGAAAAACCCTGTTAATGGAAATTGTAAAAAAAGAAAAAGAAAGAAAGGAAAAGAAAAAGAAAAAGCAATTTGTATCTAAGTTTTACCTTGAGATTGTAAAAATTCTTTTGTTCATGCCTCATGCTTTTTGCTATAAAAAGGAGGAGTTTGGAAACCGTCCTTGGCCACAGTCTGACAAGTTCATCTCTGACTTTGGTCTCAGCTAGCTGATAAGCTTGTTGTGCCCCATGGAGGTTTATTTTTTTTATTTATTTTTTCCTGGAATAAAGTTTGCTGCTGGTGTAGCAGAGCCCGGCTCTCTGTCCCTATCTTCCCAGCGGTTTCCAGTGCTGTTGCTGTGAAGGACGGCTGGAGCACTTACCTTGAACCCTGTGGATATGTAATGCCCTAATGGTAGATGTCTGAATCCTGAAGGATTTTAACAACTACCTACATTTCCAGTTCTTTTATCCCAGAGAAATTTTTTACTCTATCTTAATTCCTATTTGGATCATACTTGTAGACTAAGAATAAACAAGTCAGAACCTAGAAACCTCATGAGAGAGACTCAAAAGTGTAGTCCTCTTAGGGAGGAATCCAAAGAGAAGGATGGAGCATGTGATGGGCATGGGAGCACGGCCCACTTCCTTTGAAGCAGGGTCTCTCCTTGGCCTGGACCACACCCTTTAGGCTAGGTTGGTGGCCACTAAGCTCCAGGGATCACCATCTCTGCCAGGGTCCCCAGTGCTAGGGTTACAAATGTGCACCAACCAGGATTTTCATGTGGGTTCTGGGGACTGAACTCGGATCCACATAGTTGCAAGCCAAGCACACTGCCAACTGAATCATCCCTCCAGCCTGAGTTGGGGGTCTGTTACCATCTTCCTTCCTGGAACTAAGCCCAGAGCCTTCCATGTGGTAGGCAAGTGCTTCACCGAGGAGCCACATCCTCAGCCCCCGGGGAAGGTTTTTGTTTTTACCTCAGGGTCATGATGTAAGCCCCAAGCAGGCTTACACAGGGCTGAGGCTGCCTGGTGGCCTCTCTTCCACCTCTGTTAGCATTCTGGCATCTGTACTGGCCTGACCTTGGGGTTCTGACAGGCTACATCCTCAGCTGTAGCCACTCAGAGCACCTCCTGTACACATTCACTAGGTTCTCTTCTGCCACTCCAGTCCCCAGAGCCCCTCTCCTCTCTTCCCTCCCCTTTTCCCATTTACTTTCCCCCAATTTAAAAAAAAAAAATCCTCGGGCTGGAGAGATGGCTCAGAGGTTAAGAGCACTGACTACCCTTCCAGAGGTCCTGAGTTCAATTCCCAGCAACCACATGGTGGCTCACAACCATCTGTAACAAGATCTGGTACCCTCTTCTGACCTGCAGGCATACATGGAGGCTGAACACTGTGTACATAATAAATAAATAAATCTTTTTAAAAAAAAAATCCTCCACCTGAGCTCTGTCACATGGCATCTTTTGCTCTTGGGCCACTTTTCCTAAATTGTAACATTTTGTTTTGTTGTTTTTTGAGATAGGGTTTCTGTGTAGCCTAGCTGTCTTGAAACTCACTCTGTAGACCATGATGGCCTCGAACTCACAGAGATCCACCTGCCTCTGCCTCCCAAGTGCTGGGATTAAAGGCATGCACCAGGCACCCAATTTTTAAAATTCTATTCATTTACTTATTTATTTCTGTGTGTGCGTGAGCATGCGGGTGCACACATATGGAGGTCAAAGGACAACTCCAGCGGTCATCAGGCTCACACAGGAAGCCCTTCTCTCTCCCTTCCTAACACCCTAATGACAGCGCTCTTCACTTGACTCCTCTACGTGTTTTCCATGTCCTGATACCTGTTCATTCAGAAGCTGATCAAGATCTTTGATCTTTGCCCCAGAGCTTCCAGTCAGGCTTCTAGGTGGATGCTGGACTTTGATATGCTTTTCACTGCTCAGGGCAGGTGACAAGCACCTAATAGTCACGCACAGCCTAAGAGTCAAAAAATGGACCATATGGAAATACACACACTGGTGTTAACTGCATGAATAAACCCCATGCTGGCCCGCCGCATTCCACACGGATAAGCATCACGCCTGCAGCCAGTGTGCCCACTGGCATATATACCACTAGCAACCATGCCAGCCGCCACATTGCACACGGACGAGCATCACGCCTGCAGCCAGTGTGCCCGCTAGTAACCATCCTGGCTACCAGACTTGCTGGAGTATCGCAGTACTTATGTACAACTTCTTTGACACCCTGAAACACAAGCGTAGCCATGCCAAGAGTTGTGTCATTTCTCACACTTGCCATTGCTAATTGCTTGCTAACTTTTTATGCTAATCATCATGAGTATTTATATATAGGAAATAATCTACGGGCTGAGGATATTGCCCCTTGAAGGCTTACAACTCATACCTTAAGATGGGGTGAAGTTGAGCTATGGTCACAGCATCCCCATTTACACATAGGGCAGGGGTCACAGGCATCTAAGAGGATGGAGCCTTGGGGGAGGGGTGAACTTTCCTGGGCTTCCACTCTAAATGGGTCCCTCTACCCTTCAGTGATGTCACTGTATCTACCACACCCCCTGGTATCAGCAGTAACTGTATCCTCCCCTCCCAGAAACAGATTTGGAGCTTCTAGAAGCTACCGTGTCTGCATTGTGGCCCTAGCCCATGTTCACCACCATTCCTCTTCTCACTGCCCGAAAAACTGCCATCCTTGGCCATCAGCGGCTGTCTCCATCTGGTCACAGCCACTGACACCTCCACATCCTCCCACTTCCGCGTGTGTGAGGGCAGCCCTTGCACTTACACACACAGTCGTGCTTCACTCTACCCTGAGGAGGCTGCAGAGCAGCCTGAGAAATCAAAGCAACTTCTGGAAGCTGCCTTTTTGCTGACTCTACCCCAGGTCAGCAGTCACCAGAAGCAATGCTGAGCCATGAGGTGCTTGGCAGAAGGCTGACCTGGGCCACCCTGGAAAGGAGTAAGCAGGAGTCGGCTACCTACTCTGTCTCCCGTGAAACAGGCCAGTGTGAACTTCCTGAATGTTAAGGGGAGTAAGGATGCCCCAGCAAACAGTGGAGACACTCCGGCCTGGTGCTGGGCATATCCCTGGGTTAGTAATGGGAGAAGAGGCATCCGGGAATTGAGAGTGGTCCTGCTTTGAATTTTTGTCCAGGACACGAGGCAAGGTGCTAATGTCCCATAAGAGCTATTGCAGTTCTTACAGTGGCTTTTTCTCCTCTGAAAGGGGAAACTTAGACGGCAATGGAGTCATGACACATGACCCTGCAGCCTTGATCAGTGGGTTTTTATTGCTCATTTGCAGCGTGGGGTTGGAACCTAGGGTCTTGCACGTGCTGGGCGAGCGTTCTGCGTGAGCCCCATCCTCCGACCCAGTTTGTAGGGATTTTCCACACAAACCAGCCCGCCCTGTTTATCAAGCTCCGACTTTCTTGGCCGACATTTTGGTGAAAGGGTTTCTCTTTGGAGGCGAGTATGTTTGGTTGTTTTTCTCAGGGTCTCGTTGGGCTTTCAGGTGCTGGGTGAGGAAGCTGGTGTGCTCCTTATGAGTTCTTCTGCGGAACTTTGACTGTGACCTGCGAAGGGTTCAGAGAAGCAGTTATTCTTCTGCAAGTGCCAGCAGGTCCCCTTGGCGACAACAGCCCGTCTTCTTTCTCACATCTCCTTGGCAGCAGGCTGTCCTCTGTGGGAGATCACACCCTGTCCCTTCCTAGATTCCCACCACCTGGCAGTGTCTGGAGGCCCTTTCTTGGACTTTGGGAACAACCACAGTATAGTAGACTCTGGTGTGCCGAGGACAGGAATCTGTAACTCGCACAGCACTGTACAGCCTCCCCCTCCCACCCCACTCCCACACAAGGGGCCTCCCACAGAGTAACGCTGAGGAAGAGGCCAAGGCCACAGCTATTGGAGTCACAGCAGAGAAAGGCCTGAAGAGTGCACAACTGTATCTCAGTTTGTAGGTATTACAATGTTCTCAAATTTGGCTCTTCCTCCATTTATTTTAGTTTTTGTCCACCTCCTTTTCCCATATGTGTGTGACAGGCCACTTTAAAAAGAATCTGCACTCTGTGGTTGGAGACACTAACACATGGGGCACTGAGTCCACAGCACTGTCACTCTCTGAGTTACGTTCCTGAGGAGAACTGGACAAGGGTGGCTTGGCAGCTGTGCCTGTTCACGCCTCTTACTGGAAGCCATCTTGTTCACTCCACCAATTGGGGTCCTGCCTTCTCTCAGGCTAATCAACTTCATGGCAAATTACTGTGTGGGCCTGGTGGTGTAAGACCCTAGAGACTTTGTCTAACCTCTTCTGTGACGGCTCTGGCTTCAGTGAGAAACGTAAGCATGACAGGAGAGGCCAGGCCGCAGGTGCCCACACACGCTTACCGTCTTCACTTCAGTGTAGGCCTGCAGGCCATACTCGCCCAGCTCCCTGCCGCTCCCCGACATCTTATAGCCACCAAATGGGGACTGGGCTCCAAACACGTCATAGCAGTTGATCCTGTTATTGGAGATGAGAACGCAGGTCACTGTGAGGGGCTGCGTGCCATTCCAGGCCCTTCCAGGCTCCACAATCTCATATGGAGCACGGGACATGGAGGAGGCTAGGGCAGGCCACGTGAGACACTCATGTCAGCCTCGTCCGTGCAGGTGTGGTCACAGAGGGGCATCAACACACCACGTACCAGCTTCCAATCTGAATGGGTCATCTTGGCTAATAGGACCTAGGCCTTTTCCCCTCTTCTAAGTTAAAAATTATTAAAATTTAGGGCTGGAGAGATGGCTCAGCCTTTAAAGGCTAAGCTCACAACCAAAAATATAAAAAAAATATTAAAATTTAAATGAAAATTCAGCATTTAAAACCATGTGGCTCAGAGTGGTGACATGGCCCGTCATGTGGGTGCAGGGTCTGCTACTCAACCTGGCAACCAAGTTCAGTTCCTGGGACCCACACGACAGAAAGCCTTTCCCTACACAAACACACATCCACATATGCACACACATGCACATACACATGCTTAAAAATGTTTTTTGAAGACGGGCCCAGCTTGGTGGTTTGTGTGACATTCAGAATCCTGGTGAACCTTTCCCACTGTCTAACACCCAATTATATGTAATAACCTGAAAATAAACACTGCACCCCTTTAATGATCTCTTTCCACCTCCTCCCTCCAGGCCCAGCATCCACTAATGGAGCACCCTTCTGGGACTGTAGAGTCAGTCTATGGCCTGTAGCACCTGGCTTCTTTCACTTACCATCACGTCACCAAGGTTACCCACACTCTGTCGGGTAAGTTGAGGGTGCTGCTCTCTACACAGCCCAGTCTGCATCTGTTCTTTCCCTAATCCTGCCGATGGCGAAGAAGCTGCTGAGCAACTGTGTGTGCTCTCAGCCCACAGCTAGGAAAGGTGGCCAGTCTCTGGCTTCGGGGGTGCCTGCTCTAGGACAGCTCCTGGTCTAGTGCCCCAGTTCTAGGGAATCCAGAAGATGCTGCTTTGGGGGATATTTTATTAGGCTAAGGAGTAGCTACTGGGAGGTTCTTACCACACAGTGCCAGCCTGGAGGGCTTGCGACAGGTAGTTGGCATTATCCAGGTCCCTCGTGAAGACAGCTGCTGCCAGCCCATACTTGGAATCATTGGCTCTTCCCACGACCTCCTCTATGGTCTTGAATTTGAGAATCTGCATCACTGGTCCAAAGATCTGGGGTGTGGGACAGGGGCAGAGAAGCTGACAGGTGTTTGCAGATGGCGAACAGTGGATGCTGTTGAACCTGAGACCTGACCAGTCCAGAACTACACTGCATCCAAGCTCAAGAAAGACAAAAGGGGCTGGAGAGATGGCTCAGAGGTTAAGAGCAATGGCTGCTCTTCCAGAGGTCCTAAGTTAATTCCCAGCAATCACATGGTGGCTCACAACCATCTGTAATGAGATCTGGTGCCCTCTTCTGGCCTGCAGGCATATATGCAGACAGAATACTGTCTTTAAGAAACAAACAAAAGAAACACAAAGGGAGGGAAGTGATTACGGACCGGCCACCTTTTAGGCAGCCCATGCTTTGTGCACAGTTATCTGATTTCTAAATAATCCCACAGCGCAGGGGCTATGTTGGCATATGAACTCAGCATAGAGAATTTAACCCAGGCACAGGCACAGACTGGCCTCTGAGCAGCGACTGTGAAATGGCTTGTGGTTTCTCCTGCTCTTCCCACAGTTTCCAGAACAGGCCACTTCTTCAGCTAGCTCCAACTATTTGACAGAGAATGCAATTCAGAAACCAAGACCTCCGTGAAAAGCTTTCTGCCCCAGAGACCACTGAGAACCGGCTGGAACTGACCATTGTGACCATCTGACTATCATGTAAACAGCACATACATGGAGCTGGAACAGAGGAGCCTGAGAGCCAGGGAGGACATTCACAGTGAGTGGGGAGGAAGGAAATGGAGTCCTAATCCCCGCTGAGAAGAACTAGGTTTCCACAAAAACATGGCTGATTCCGAGGGGACAGGGGACAGAAGGTAACGAGGATGCCCATGAGCCTCAGAGTTGTCATGGGGACTAAACCATGTCACAGGCCGCTGGAGAACAAGCACAGGCATTCTCGACCCTCCAGAACATTCTCACTAGCACGTAAAAGGGTGGTACTATGCTGTCCTGCATGCGACTTGGGGGTTTAACCCAGCTGGGACAAGTGGGAGGAAGGGTATCAGAGTTATATAGACGATGGAAAGGCCCTATGAGTCCATTCCTAGATTCATGATTCCCAGGGGCCAGAGTACAAAGGCCGGTGGGCTAGGCTATGAAGGCTATGGGATAGAATGGTCTTCCAATGGTGGGAAGCCCCAAGCTGCAGTGGAGAGTGATGTATCAGAATCACACTGCAAATAACTTACTCTAGGCAAAGGAGGTAACTCAAAACCAAAGTCTGGGGCACAGTCACGACACTAGACCAAATCACCTACTTCTTGCTAAGAGCAGCCTCCAGGACACAGCTGAGGTACTGACCTCCTCCTTGGCAATGGTCATGCCGTCTTTCACGTCTCCGAACACGGTGGGCTGGATGAAGTAGCCACGGTCGGCGGCAGCACCTCCACCACACAGCAGCTTTGCCCCTTCTTGTTGTCCTGACTTGATATAACCAAGGATCTTCTTAAACTGAGTCTCGTCCACCTGTGTGAGAGACCAAAGTGGTGGAGAAGCTGGAGCCAGGCCTCCCTCTGGTGGAGAACATGAAGCCGAGGTAGCTGGGAAGGGGACCAAGGTCTTGAAGAAGCAAATATAATACCCAAGAGAGACCCTGCATCCTTTACTGCTAGAGAAAGGCACATCACAGCCAATGTTTCTCTCTTTAAACTCTAACATTAACAAAATAGAAACACAAAAGCACAGGGGCTTAGGGAATAACGGCTTAGGGACTGGCTCAGTAGCAGGTGCCCTGTGCAGATTTCGCATCTGCACTCCTTCCAAGGTATATGAACCCTGCATAAATGTGGGGCTCAGAAAGCAGTTGAACTCTCATGCTTACCCCAACAGGACACACAGCTGGTACCCAGCAGGGGAGACATGAACCCAGCCCCATCAATGCTGAGCCATGCCTCTTTGGCTTCACCTTGCCAGCTTGGGGCTGCAGGCCAAGCTGGAGCTGTCAGGCTTACCTGCGGCCCCTGCTCGGTCCGGCTGTCAAAGGGGTTTCCGACCACCCGAGACTTGGCCCGCGCAACACTGCGCTCCACGAATTCCTCATACACATCCTCCTGCACAAAGGTCCGGGAGCCAGCGCAGCAGCACTGGCCTTGGTTAAAGAATAGGGCGAAGTGGGCCTGCTCTACAGCCCAGTCCACTGTGAAGAGGGGACAGTAGAGAGAAAGGTGACATGAGAAGAGGCCGCTAACCCCAGCACTGCTCACCCACACAACCCGAGCACACTGTCAGGGTTAGTGCCTGCTGGGGGCCAGGGCCTGGCCAGAATAAAATGGAACCTTCTTCCTTTTGTGGGGACTGAAAACCGGGAAAGATACAGAAGGAAGGAAGTGTTCCAGAGAGGGCGGGAGAGGATGTGCTGAGTGGCTTGTGGGTGGTCATTACAGGGCTCAGGCTCACTCTGCTGAGGGAATATGTAGGGAGAGGTCAATGCCAGACCACAGGGACCCCCAAATCAGTCATGCTGGAGTCTGGGCCCATCCCTGCAGCCCCATAACCTACTGTCAGCATCTGACATGATGATGTTGGGGCTCTTTCCCCCAAGCTCCAGGGTCACTCTTTTGAGATTGCTGCTTCCTGCGGCAACTTGGATTAGGTGGCCAACCTGTGGGGACATGGTCTGCCGTTAGCAGGGACGAAAGCTAACTGCTCCTCCACACAGGGAGTCACCAAATCCCAAGAGACCCAAAGAGTTCACCTCCCAGTGCTGCCACTGGGCTCTAGACAACGGTGACAGTAACCAACTGGCTCACACATGGGCCTGTGCCAGGTATGGCGCTTGGAGTCTCGAAGTGGCCAAGCCGCACAACCAGGCTCAAGGAGGTGGGCTCACCAAGTGTCAGTGACTGTCAAATGTCCCTCAGCTGGTGGCAGTGCTTTGGGAAGCTATGGGACCTTTAGAAACCTGGGTCCAGATGGAGGAAGTGTGTGTCATTGTAGGGGGTTATAGCTGAGTGACATTTCCTGTCTTGTTTCCCCACTCTGCACAGATGTGAGCAAGCACCCTCCCCATAACAGGCACTAACTGAGCTGTAATCCGTCCTTCCTTTAACTTGCTTCTTGTCAGTTCTTGGTCACAACAAAAAGAAAACCAACACAAGCCATGGTGGCGCCTTTAGTCCCCACATTTGGGAGGCAGAGGCAGAAGGATCTCTGTGAGTTTGAAGCCAGCCTGGTCTACATAGCCACAGCTATGTAGAGATCCTATCTCAAAGCAAGCAAGCAAACAAACAAATAAATAAACAAATGAGGAGGGAGCCCTAATCCGCCACGGCTGCCCAGCAAGTCTGCACTGCTCTGAGGCACTGCTCCAGAGCCCAGGCCCTGCCTGTGCGTCTCCACTGTACGTACAGAAGCTGCCATCCTGGTTTCCGTTACTATTGCTGTTTTGATTTCTTTCCTTCTTTCTTTTCTTTCTTTCCTTTTTCTTATAGGATCTCACTGTGTAGCTCTGACAGTCTGAGTCCTTGAACTCACAGAGCTCCTTCTGCTTCTGCTTCCTGAGTGTTGGGACTAAAGGCGTGTGCTCTGTTTTGATTTTTTTGAAGCAGGGTCTCACATAGCTAAGGCTAGCCTCAAACTCACTATGTAGCTAAAGTTTCTTCAGCTATGGATCTTCCTGCTCCCACCTCCTGAGTGCTGAGGTTAAAGCCACCATTCTGGTCTCAAAGGAAATGAGTAGAGCCTCTGGACACTTTGTGGGTCCCAGGGATACACTGGCAAGGCCTGGACCAGCACCTGGGCTTTCTGAAGCCAGCTAGTTCTGGACTCCTTATTCCACAGGATGCTGATTCTTCCTAAAAGCACTTAGGGAGGCCAGCAGGACACAGAGGTCACAATCCTGTTCTGCCCTTTATTGGGAGGCATGTTCTGGGACAGAACCTGACTCTTCTGAAGGGAGCAGCCACTGAGGAGGGGGAGCCTGAGCCCCCATGCTGCAGACCTGAGACACCTCACCTCAGTGGAGCCAGTGAATGCCACTTTGTCCACATCCTCGTGGGAAGCGATGGCAGCCCCTGCAGTAGGGCCGAATCCAGGAACAATATTGACCACACCAGGAGGGAAGCCTGCCTGTAGAGGAAGTCAGGAGACCTGAAGTCAGCCTGCTGCTCCCAGGAAACACCCTATTCCCCAACAGAGACCTGGAACAAAGAAAGCCACCCTGTACGGCATGAGCCACCCTCTAGGGACAAGGAAGTTGCCTGTGGAGTTGCCTGTGGAGATGGCAGCTCTAGAAGAGTGGCTTTCATCCTTCAGAGGGGACAGGAGCAGGGACCTCTCTGGTTAGGGTACTGAGGACCGAGTCCTCTGGTTAAGGTACTGAGGACAGAGTCCTCTGGTTAAGGTACTGAGGACCGAGTCTTCTGGTTAAGGTACTGAGGACTGAGTTCTCCTCTGGTTAAGGTACTGAGGGCAGAGCTCCCCTCTGGTTAAGGAGCAAGCCATGCTAGGATATTTAGAGGTCACAGCAGAAACAAGCCACACACCTCCTTGATCAAGTTGGCCACATAGAGCGCGGTGAGGGGAGTCTGCTCAGCGACCTTCATCACGACCACGTTTCCAGTTGCCAAGGCTGGGCCCAGTTTCCACGCTTGCATCAGGAGTGGGAAGTTCCACTGTACGAAACAACAGTCACCAACCACAGGTCCGCCTCAGAGAGACACAGCAGGCGGCAGGAAGGGTTTGGATGATGGTTGAGGTAGGTGGCTGACAGCAGTGGCTCTCACTTATTGGTACCTTGTGAGTTCCTAATCATTATTTCCTCACAATCAATAGCCTGCCACTGTTCAGAAGGAGAATGGAGCCTTAAAAGGGATTAATGATTTTGCTGGATCAGACTTAACCCCATCCCAGGTGACTTGCCAAAACCCCTTTTCTCAGCCAACACCCAGTCACCTTCCAAAGCCACCTGCAGAACCCTACTTCGCAATGAGCATGGCTGGCCCCCAGCCTCACCCCCCTCCAACTTTGACTTCCAGAGGGGCTGGTACACACCGGAATGATCTGCCCACAAACGCCCACAGGCTCGTGGCGGGTGTAGCTGAAGAAGTCGCCATCAATAGGAATGGTTTTCCCATGGTACTTATCAGCCCAGCCAGCGTAATAGCTAAAAAAAGAAAAAATCCAAGCGTCAGTTGGTGTCTAGCTTGCAATACCTGGCAGTAAGAGAGCTGCCCCAGATGGCACGGATAACCTCCCTGACATTTGGCTTCTTCCCAGAGAGAAGTGGATGACCACCAGGACTGGTGACCCCTCTCCTCCTAATTAAACTTTGGAGCCTCAGAATCACTTGCAATGCTACCGACAAACACCACCAGGTCCATGGCCAGAGCCTACTTCCCACTCATTCAACCACCTCTCTGGGGACGCAGTCTTTTAACCAAGCATGTAGATTTATTTACATGTGTCTGCTGTGCCAGTCCAGCACTGGAGCATCAAGGGTATGACCTGGTGGAGGACAGCAGACCCATCAAAGACCAGCACGTCCCCGACTGGCCTCACCTCATGAAGTTCATTATCACAATCACAGGAACATGGGTGACAGAAAAGCATCATGGCTGGGGAACAGCCAGTGTGTGTTCATAGCATGTAATGGCCATGACTTGGGGAGGGAAGGAAGAGGGAAGAGTCAGGATGAGGTGAGCGGTTTGTAGAAGGAAGATTCTGGAAGAGCATAGGGTCTGCCAAAGCTGACCAGGGTGGAGCTCAGGTTTCTCAGCCTCAGCATGTCTGACGCTTTGTTGTGGGGGCCTGCTCTGCGGGTCCCACTCTGCACCAGATGCTGGCAGCGCCTTCCCTGGCAGTCATGACCAGACCCACCTCTGGAACAGTGGAGGACAACTGCCATTCGGGCACTGTTCCCACCTGCCAGCCACTGTTGGCACCACAGTCTGTCCACACTGCCTGTGCAGGCTGCAGAGCCTCCCCCAGGACACTGCCATTCCATCTAAGGATGGCAACATGAAGGCTGGCCTTGAAGAAGCCACATGGAACAAGATAGAAGGAAAAAAGGGACCTGTCTCTCACTATTGACTACAATGGGCAAACCCCAAGACAAATTATCCCTGACTTATTGATCAGTAAGATGTCTATGATCAGACTAAACTCAAAGTAGCAGCAGGAGAGAAACAGGAGAACAAAGGAGAATGAGTGGTGTCCCTTTGGCCAGTGCAAGAGACGAAAAGCAGAAAGTAAAGTGGAGGACAGAAAAGACCACTGGAAGCCAGAGACAACCAAAGACCAACATATCAGATCCCTCAGATAACAACCAGTTCCAAGGGCACAGAAACTATCAAACACAACTCAAGACAGACGAGAACACGAAGAGGACCAGTTCTGGTGGTCGGTTGACACAGCTGACAGGTTCCGGTCCCCGAGAGCCTTCTGCGTCCTTCTAATTCTGTGTCTACCTCCCAACATCAACCCCTCCCTTCTCTCAATGGCCAGAACTGGAAACCCATACCGGAGGCATTTCAGGACCATGTCCAAATCCACCAGGTAGGAGATGACATAAGGCTTGCCATTGTCCAGGGTCTCCAGGGCCTGACGAGAAAGGAAGGTCAGCAGAGACACGTTAGCTCAGGAATGAAGAGAAACAAGGTGACCAGTGACAAGGGGCCCTGAACTGACAAGCACGGATGGAAGCTCAGGGTGAGAGTCTCCACTGGACCACTGAATGTCGTGGACATTTCCGGATCACTGCCCCAGCTTCTCGCAAGGCAGGGAGAGGAGAAAAGCCAGCTTCACTCACTTCGCAGGCATTACTAAGTTCTGGCCTCTACCAGATCCAGCAGAGAGCAGAGAGAGCCTCAGGAGAAAGAGCATGGTGGCATGGATCTGTCAATCACATCCGCTACTCATGCTAGGAAGAAAACCCATCTTTCTTGCTCCATCTTGGAAATGCCAACCAATATTAACTCTGAAGGCTGGGGAGGGGGCAGGCGACACATGGGGAGGAAGTGATAAATATCAGCAGGGGGACAGTGTGTGCAAAGGTCCCAGGGCTCCAAGAAGTTTGGCTGTCAAAAAGTGAAGGGGCACAGCCTGGCTTGGCTTAGGTAGTGGAGCCCAGCCATGTTGAGGACTTTATTCCAAGGTTCTAAGAGCTGATGCCACGGTGCACCTGGAGAGTTCACTCTGGCTACCACCACAGAGCAAGGGGCTCCCTTTGGGTTCTCCTAACAGGGTGGCCAGGGTGAGGGCCCACCATGCAGACGGGCCCAGGGGAGGTGACCAGCCCTGCAGATCACTAGGGAAGGCCTGTGTGAGAGAAACATTCTTCTTTCCCTCCCTCCTTGGAAATCTAAGATCTGGACTACACCCACCGATTCAGGACAGACACTGAGATTCCTCTGGTTGGTAATAGGAAGACTACAAAAGTGTCCATCCATCAGACGCCATTATGACCTAGGGGCAGCAAGGCCTTTGAACCATCAGGGGATGCTATGGGCCTCTTCGGTCGTGGGAAGCAAGGGAAAGAGGGCCCAGGACTCACCGCCAGGTAGGTTCGGTCCCGCTCGATGAGATCAGCCAGTCGGTACAGCAGCCGTCCCCGGTCGGATGCATCCATGCGGCGCCATGGCGAGCCCAGCTGGAAGGCTGCCCTCGCAGCCTTCACCGCCTTGTCCACGTCCTCCTGTGAAACAGCCACCCTGGGAGCTCAGACCTCAGCAGTAAATGCTTCCCAGTACCGTGCATCCCACTCCCAAGCATACCACAGGCTGGTCATTATGGGTCGCTGCAGGAAACCACCCCAAACAGTCCTCCAGGGCCCCAAATCTCAGCAGCAAACATAGGCCTCATCAGGGGGTGTGCTGGAAAGGAGATTTCTGGCCATTGGGAGTGAGAGACCTCATGAGTCAATCCTTAGATGGGACCCCGTGGGCTCAGCGGTTAAGAGCACTACCTTCAGCTGGGGGCGGTGGTGGCTCACACCTTTTTTAATCTCAGCACTTGGGAGGCAAAGGCAGAAGGATCTCTGTGAGCTCAAGGCCAGCCTGGTCTACAGAGCTATTTCCAGGACAGGCTCCAAAGCTACACAGAGAAACCCTATCTCAAGGGGGAGAAAAACAAAACAAAAACAAAACAAAACAAAAAAAACACCCAGCCACCATCCAGCATGCGAATGGAATGGAGACCGCCACAGATTCATATTTCAAATGTCTGCTTGGTGGTTTTTAAGTAAGGGATGTGAAACATGTATGTGGTCACATTTCAGTCATACAAACACACAGAACAACAACTGTGTGCCATGTGGGTAGCACATAACCTGTAATCTCCACACTTGAGGCACAGCCAGAAGGACGGACACAGTTCCAGGCCAGCCAGGGCTACAGGATGAGATCCTACCCAAGAAGTGCCGCTAGAAGTCACTGGGTCTCACCTTGCTCCCTTCTGCGACCTGGCAGATGACCTCTCCCGTGGAAGGGTTGACGGTGGGGAAAGTTTTCTTGCTGATGGCGTCATGCCACTCATTGTTAATGAAGATCTGCAATGAGAGTGAGAAACGTTCTCAGGCCAGCTCTCAACTCTACGCAAACATGGAGGAGACAAAGATCAGCAGCAAAGGGCTGCGGATTCCAGGTCAAAACCACAAACCCAGAAGAAGGCTGGGAGAGTTCCCCGAGCCTAGCTTCAGAAACTGCAGTCGTTGCTGAAGTCTATAGGTGAGAATGTGTCACATACCCAGTACAGGGTGGGGGACATCCACTTTCCCTTAGAAGAACAAGAAAACACTTGTGGCAATCTTCTTTATTATTTCTGTTGTTGTTTTGGGACAGTCTCTCTGTGTATATCCCTGGATGTCCTAAAACTCTCTCTGTAGACCAGGTTGGCCTCGAACTCACAGAGATCCGCCTGACTCTACTCCTGAAAGCTGGGATTAAAGGTGTGCACCACCAGGCCCAGCTAGCCAGCTTCATTCTAGACTGCACAAACGAGGAACTCTTAGAGTATCCACTCAGCTCTGCAGCACACACTATGAATAATTTCCAGGCCAGGCACTGTCCTGGAGAGGGATAGTGACCCATATCAGTGATCAAAGACATAGGCTGGAGGCAGAATTTGGACTGAAGATTCGAACATTTGTTCCTGGCTTTGTCCGCAGGGTCAGGGACTTCTGTAATTCCAGCCTTCTTCCTCACCTACAGGGCGGAGCCCATTGCAATTCCCTTCCCTAAGGTGGCAAGCCCTGGCAGCAGCCTGGCATGGGGCAGGCGCCCATGCTGACTGCAGTGGGTGATGAGGAATCCCAGGAGGCCAAGCCTTCTGCGCCATCCACTTGTTCTCACTGCAAGGCAGAGTTGGTCACTGCTCGAATCTGGCCAGGTATGTGTAAACATGACGTAGACTGTCAAGTTATGCGTGTGTCATTTCGTATCCACTGATACTCATCTTAATTAATTTGTTACTTTAGTCCTAGACCTGTGTAGTTTCCAGTAAGGGACTTGGGTGTGAGACTCAGACTTAAAACTTTAAAACCTCAGAGCTGGGTTTCAGGTTGGGCCTCTGGGCATGGTGTGACCTCTCCTCTTCCTCTCGGTTCACTATGATGTGAGGGGAAGTGAGGATCTGAGGTAATGCAGAAGAGGACTCAGGGATGGGTGTGGGTGGCACAGACTCAGGGATCCCTACATGGCACAGTGGTACAGGGAGGAGTTAGGGAGGGCACCAGAGGGCCAGGCTACAGGGCAAGGAGAAGCTGCTTGATTTCCTACTGTCCCCTGCTCCTTGTCTACACTCCACAACCTGCATTCCCAGGAACAGTATCAGCACCAGGAGAATTCCATCTGTTCCACCACACACAGGAGGCCACCAGGGCACGGGGACGCTTGGCTCTGGGCTCACATTCACACAGAGCCAGGGACTTAAACCCAAGCTTTAGGATGCCAAGGCCTCATTCCCGGCCCACTTCCCACTACAGTGTCCAGTCTTAGTCCAGGTCTGCCTGCAAGACGAGAGCACTTGTTCCCAAAGTATTGCCTTTAAAAACTAAGCATGTTTAGTTTTAACCCCAGCACCTGTGGACTGGAGTCTACCCGCCTCACACTGGGAAATGGGCAAATGAGTCTCAGAAGTCTGACCCAATACCTCTGGGGGCTTTATGAGGAGTCACGGAGACAATGGGTGTGCAGTTCCTTGCCAGGAGCTGGCCACAGGCTGTCTCTTGCTGCCACCCTAGATGGGGCAGCTATCTACAACTAAAGATCACAGACCAAGAATCACCCAGCTTCTCAGCTCTCCCCGCATGACAGATACTCCATGAATTTACCCTGAAAAGATTCTCATGAGTAGTTTATAAACATCAAGAAATCGCGGGGTGGGAGTGGAGAAGGGGGAGACAGGGAGAGGGTGGTGGGCTGGTCAGACTAAGTGGACACCCAAATACATGCCCCACCAGGCCACTCCCTGCATTGTCCCTGTGCTGAGGCTAACTCTGAAATATGCTGTGTCATTCTTCCGGTCTGTTAGAATGACTGTCAACAACCTGTCCTTTCTTCTTGGCTGATGAAATCAGAGATTCCTGAGCTCAGGGTCCCCATTTCTTCCCTGCCAACTCTCTCCTACAATCCCACCCCAAACACTGGGAGCCAAGAGGGGAGGGTGTTCTCACTCAGCCCTGCTTCCAGAAGAATGTCTTCAGAACCACAAAAGGGCAGAGTCCAGGCTTCTAGCCCTCCTGGCCCCAAACCAAGGCCTGCCTTACATAACATGCTGAATTCAGTCATCATGGCAGAGAGGAGGTTCTCCTAGCTCCCACTTCCTCTTCTAGAACACAGATTGGGAGGTGACAGTCTGAATTTGAAGCAAAATCAAAACAGTGTCTACCCGTGTCAATGGGGTTTCACAGACACTCCCCTGGCATCCTGTAAGCTCTAGTGATAGCCAGAGCCACTACCCGTGCCAGACATGGGGCAAAACAGCAAAGCCTTGGCCCCTCAGAGCTGAAGTCCTGAGGAGGAGGGGCCCAGTGAGCAAGCACAGGCTGTGGTGAAACTAAGGGGGAATCAGGGACACCGTTAAAGGGGGACCCAAAGAGTTAGGTGTTGGTAGCACATGCCTTTAATCCCAGCGCAAACACAAAGAGTAAATCTTAAAGAAAACTATGCTAGATGTGGTGGTACACACCTTTAATCCCAGCACTTGGGAGGCAGAGGCAGGAGGATCTCTGTGAGTTTGAGACCAGCCTGTTCTACATAGTGATACCCTATCTCAAAAATAGGGAGGGAGAGAGAGAGAGAGAGAGAAAGAGAGAGAGACTTGAGGTTGACTGAAAAAGGCGGGGAGGGTGTGGCAGCAGAACTGCTAAAGGGGGCAAAGGACGGGGTGGGGGCAGCGGGGTCAAAGCTCCAATCGCTGGAAGTTACTTACTGGGGAGCAAGGGACCTGGAGTAAGCCAGAGTCATTACCACACACCATAGGCCTGGGGACAGCAGCCTTTCTATTTGGTAACTGCTCTGTCCTAGGCCTCATTCCACAGGCAGGGAGCTGAGGCACCTTAAGCATTTCCTGGTACAAATGGTTTATTTACATAAGAGGGCCGGGCCATGGTCCCGAACTGCAATGTCGTCACAGCCTTTACCCATCATCTCCAAGGCAGGGTGGTTAGGGTTGGTTCCTGAGAAGTCAGCTGACAGAGACAGCATGGGTCTTCTCCACCTGGCAAATGGAGGCTAAGGAGCCACGGTAGTGGCCTGGGGTGGCAGACACAGGAGCTGTGGCTAGGTTTGCCAGGGCTGTGAGCAAGATGAGTGGACTCTAGAATCGCAGGCCTGACAGAGGACAGATTATTCCAGCCACATATACAAGCAGCTATCATATGCCCTGGGGCCAATGAAAGAATAGTTAATTATATTTCTCAGTAGCTGTGACCTATGGAAGCAGGGAACTTTTAGAAAGAATTCAAAGTTGGTGGGTTTTGTTTTGTTTTGTTTTTCGAGACAGGATTTCTCTGTGTAGTCCTGGTTGTCCTGGAACTCACCCTGTAGATCAGGCTGGGTTTGAACTCAGAGATCTGCCTGCCTCTGCCTCCTGAGTGCTGGGTTTTACCAAGCTTTTTGGGTTGTTTTGTTTGCTTGCTTTGGTTTTGTCAGTTGTTTTTATTAACAGTGTGTGAGTCACGGTCAGAGGATCAACTCTTGGGAGTCGGTTCTGAGGACTGAGTTCAGGAATCAGTCTCAGCTGCAATTTACCCACTGTGCCATCTCGCTGGCTCCAAATCTGCTTTGTTTTTAAACTAAAAGAGCCAACAATTTCATTTTCACATTCCACAATATAAATGACACTTGTGCTTTCTAGTCCCACTCCCTTCTAGAATTGTCTTTAATAGGAAGGACAGTGAATCTTCCTCCTCACCATGGTGTTTGGTGATGGAACAGCTGACACAACAGGATATCGAGAGCCCCACACCCTTAGCTGCCAGTGAACACCACGCTGGGACAAGCAAGAGGCCTCACTGGCATATGGGTCACCCAAGGGTGGTTTCATTCCAGAAGTAGGCCCTATCAGTACCATCCCAAGAGGAAGAGGGCCCATGACTGACTTCCCAATGGAAACACGAGTATCCCAGCAAGGAGGACCCGGGAGGTGGATCACGGTCCCTGTAGGGTGGACAGAGGGGTTGAAGGGGTGTTAGCCTGCTCTTCCGTCGACTTCCAATGGCAGTCTTTGTGTTTCTTACCACAGTAACGCATCTGCCTCACACATGGAGACTCCAGTGAGACACGCAGATCCAAGGAAACCTGGGTACATAGTTCTGTAGGTGGATGGTGGCCCGGTTTCCCGCGGCACACAGCTGCCATCCTGGGAATCCCTTTCAGGTTCTGATGTTCAAAGGAGGCCTCCTAGGAAGCCCATGATCCTGGAGCGCCTCACTTCCCATGTGGGTGATTCCAAAGAGTGTTTGGTTTGGAGAATTTTCCTGGCTCTTTCTTTCTCTTCTTTCTTTCTTTTTATTTTTATTTTTTGAGATAGTCTATATGTAGCCTAGGCTGGCACAAAACTCACAATCCTCTTGTCTCAGCCTCTTGAGTATCACCATGCCCAGCACATATCAGCCATACCCAATCTCACCCACATTTCCTTACTCTGCCCCCTCTCTCATTCTCTGAGCTATAATCAAACCCAAGGCCCAGAGCCTTGGGCAAGCATTCATCTGCTTCTTAAATAGCAGTTATGGAACCAGTCCAGTGGGCACCTCATGTTACCTTTTGATATTACAAGATCCCAGGGGGTCAAGTTCCAGATAAACACAGAATGCCACACATATCCACACTCTTAACATCCAGAACTTCCTAGGGTTAGCTTGTGGTCAAGGCTAAGAGGAGCCAACTCCACCCCCACACCGCAGACTTCCCTGAGCTGCTCTGGCAGTTGGCCCCAGTCCTCCCCTATTCTGCCTGCCCCAGGACCAGTGCTTTTGATACTGATGTATTTGATATATTGATACTGACCACTCGGGGGAGAGGGAGTTAATTCTATTTTGGAGCT